TGGCACGTAGTGAGCAGCTTGCCATCCTTAGTTGCTCTTTTACAATAATAGCAGCATCACCACCTTCACCACCACTCAAAATCTCTGATTCTAAGGAATGTGCACAATGAACTACACAAAGATATTTAAATAGCTGCTGTTTGTGCCTTCCTTCACCTGACTTGAAATAGCAAAATGTTTTAATAGTGACTTTTTTCCTGCCTCTGCCTATGACCGTTCCAGCCTCATAAATGTGAAGTATCTTTTGGGGGACACTACACTTGGAAAGGTATAATGAGGTTAAGAATCTTTTTATTGAAAAAACATTGACAGCTGGACCTTCCAGGAAGGCTCAGGCCACCAGTTCTCGTTCAAATAAGGAGAGAATGACCTTTAGCCCATGGAAAAGGGATAAGCTAAGCAGACAACAACACATGTGGCATTTCCATTGGACCTGACGATGACTGATAGGTTGGGAACCCAAACATGGGGGCCCTTCTTTATTTGCACAGCTGGAAAACACTCCATGAACTGTGATTTTTGAAGGAGAATCAGCCAGTGCTTATTTAGAATCTTGGCATATTGAACATTAGAGAAGGTCACCATGGCTTTGTGAAATATCTGGGCTAGTCAGTAGTCAGCTCTCTTCTGTTTTCCAGTTCACTTGTTTTTAAAATAGTGTGAACACAGAACTTTAAATTCCACCAGCCATTCTACAGTGGCAATGATTGTTTTAATGTGTTTAAAATGGCTTGCTGTTTTGTCTCATTAGGGTTGGTTCCCTCAAGACAGGACCTACTTATGCATAAAATGAAATGCATTCACAAGCTCCAGGCCTCTCTAGATTTTGCTGGTGGATTGGAGGAGGCAGAGAACTACTGCAAGAGGTATAAAAATCCCCAGACATTCATTTCCAGAAGAAAGTATCTGAGAGCTGCTGGCTAAGAACTGTCTCCATGGCTACCAGACTCCTAAGGAAGAAGTTCTGCACTGATGGCAGGTCCTTGACCACTAACTCAGGGACAATGTGATAGCCCTCATGATTCTTGCTCCCTCCCAGGGTCATTCTGTGGTCAGGCCTGGTTGGTTAGTCCTGTCTCCTGGGACTCTCCTTGGGGCTTCTGTGGTCCCTGAATGCTAATGTTTCATTTCACTGCAGAACTTGGCTGAGTCAGGGTGAAAATATGTAAAGGGGCCCTCTGGACCTCATGACACTTGAGATGAAAAATGTTATGCTGCCTCCATGCTATAACCATCTGAGACTATAAACAATGATTTAATTAATGACCATAGACGAATACTTGCTCATCGATGTGACATAGTCTAAAACCCTTTAACTGACGCAACGTGAAGCCAATGTTTATATGGGCACGAAGGACTGGAATATCACATTTTGATGGCACTGCTACTTTGAAGAGTGGCAAACAGTGACATTCCCAAGACTCTTTACACAGAAGCAGAATGAGGACAGTGAAACTGTCAACAGGGGCTGACTCTGGTAGGGAGGAACATCACTGGATGTGCACAGGAAGGGAAGGAGAATTACTGTGGAATCCACCGCCTGTCCAGCCAAGCAGCTACTGTTACGTCCTTGGATTTTCTGCAGTGCTGTACTCAGAACTTACAAATCCTAAAGGCTATATTCTATAGTCAGGCCCTAAAATACTCTGAGTTGACTAACCAGTCTTCAAAAGGATGCCTCAAAGATTCTTATAAACAATGACTAAAACTAAATTACGGTGTAATATTAGTTGATTAAGACAAGACTTCAATTTGAGTAATTTTCATCAGCTGGACACAGACAGTGGTGGAAACAATAACCCATGACTAAACGCATACTAGCTGATGGGAAGAACTGCAATCTGATGTGGCAAGAAATAACAGCAAATTTTTTTAAAAAAAATTAAAAAATGGAAAGGAACTCTTTTTTTTCAAGACCACAGAATAAAGGAAAACATGGGAAAAGTATAGCTAACTCAAGGTTTTTAAATGTCAACAAAGTTCCAAAACTAATTTCAAGAAAGGCCTCTTCCCTCAGAGGAAGTCTGGAATCTACTCGGCCTCCTTCTCCTCTGTCTGTGTTCTTCCTATTGCTCTCCGTGAAATGAGGCCAAATGTATAACTCTGAGACAAGCAGAACTATTGATACCTTTTAGTGAGGCAAGCCAGACAATGAACGAAAACACCTGCAGCATGTGTTATTTTAGAGCTTCAAGGATAACATTAAAAACTTCCATGCAGCCCTTCCTTTTTTAGATGAGGAAATTGAGCCTCGCTTAAAAGACTGTTCAAATAGAAGCAGATAATTAAAGAAGTGCCACGAAAAGGGAAAGATGGGTGCAGGTGTAAGAGGCTGACCATGCACCTGTTCTTGGAGAACCTTCCCACACTCCCGTCCACAGTGCTGAGACCTCCAGAGCACGTATTTCTCCATGGGCTGCTTCTGCCCACACCTAATTCAGCAGGGAGAAAGAACTGGCCCAAGCTGAGTATCATAATCTCTTCGGGGGGTGAGGAGGAGGATGTGAAATCAGAATTTAGATTTTCTAGTCAGCCTCAAATGGAAAAGACATAAATTCGCCTTTCCAACATTGTGCCTTGCCCACAGAATTGTTGCATGGATAGGTGGGCATGCGTGGAATGGGGTGGTCATTCCTGGCTGTGTGCATGCCATAGTAGGGAGGGTCTACCTACAGAGAAGAAGAATGCCAGGGACACCTCAGAAGAAACTGAGAAGAAATAGGAAGACAATCTTCCTGCTCCCTCGTGAGACCCAAGCTTCCCTTCTAGCAGGGTTTTGAGTCACTCCCCCCCTCTCCAAAATGCTCCCCCCTTTTTTTAAATTTTGGGGAACAACTTTGGTGGCTTGAAACTAGAACAACTTTGTCTTAGATCATCGAAACTGGAGCTAAGACCTACCAACCCTTCACTGAGTCCTCTTTTCTCCACTGAAGTCCAAACACTGGAACTTTTATGAAGGATGGCTTAGGAGACCAATTTAAGGCAGGCCACTGAAATCTATCAATACCAGTCTACTGCATAACAGGACCTATCTTCCTTTATTAGTATTTAGAGTCAACTTACCGACTTTTTAAACATCAAAGGAGCATTCACTCTGGTACAAGGCTGGGCTCTGTCAGAGCACCCAAGATGAAATCAGAGTCCAAGACCGCTCTCACGGAGCCTGCAGCCTCAGAAGGGAGGCAAGCCAGGCCCAGAGATCAACATAACACAAGAGAATATCTCAGGGCTCTTACATACCAGAGACCAAACTACAAATGTTATTTGTATGGCCTCATCTCATGCCCACAACATGCTTGAGGGGAAGGTATCGTCACTACTTCTGCTCTGTAGATGATGTAACTCAGACCCACCTAGATAGGTTTGGTAACTTGCACATAGTTTGTGGATACTGATTGCTTGATTTGGATACAAGGAGTCTAGACTCTCCCATCTATTAACTTGCTGTACTTTGCCTTCTTGGCTGTGTATAAAATGAAAAGAAGGCCTTCATAGGCTGGACAGCCCTACTACTTCATTCCCTGTGCTATCCCCAAACTATTTGTTTCTGACATGCAACGGGGGATTGGTAATCAATTAGCCTTCTGAACATAAAAAAGCTAATGATTACTGAGCACTTATTATGTCCCAGTATTGAACTAGGCACTTAATATGCACCATTTCATTAATAAGAATCAAGGGAAGAAATGGATACAAACTTTCAGTTAGACGGAAGGAATGAGTTCAAGAGATACATAGTAAAACAGGGTGACTGTAGTTAATAACAATGTGTTATATACTTGAAAATTGCTAAGAGAATATATTTTAGGTATTCTCATCTCAAATAAACAATAAAGATGTAAGGCAATACATATTTTAATTAGCTTTAGTTACTTACACAATGTATACATACTTGAAAACATGTCGTATACCATAAATATACATAATTTTATTTATTAGCTAAAAAGGAATTAAAGGAAGAATTATTATTGCCATTACCATTTTAAATATTAGAACACTGAGGCAAGTTAAAGTTGACCAACTTAATTAGTAATGTAGGTAAAGTTATGTTATGGGAGCATATCAAACTGAAAATCTCAGTGGCTTAACACAAACGTTTATTTGTTATGAACACTATTTATCCAGTGTGGGTTGGCAGAGGCAAGGGGCAGAGTGAAAGTCATCTCTGCTCCACAGGCTCACTCAGAGACCCAGGCTGATGAATGCTGCCGCATCTCACGACTGTTCTGTCTGGACCACGTAGCTCCACAGCTCACAAGAGCAGAAGACAGTACCAACACCACCACACCAGCGCTCAAATGCTTTAGCCCAGAAACAAGTCAGGTCGATTTAACTCACACCCTATTAACCAGAACCAGTCTTGAAGCCCCACCTACAGACAAGAAGGCTGGGAATGATGACAGACCACATGGATATTGATTCACAGTAAATGTCTCTGCCATAGTAATTCTCCCAAGGCTACTCAGCTACTAAGCAGAAGAGTGAAAAGGCTTAACCACTCCAGTTGACTATGTCCTCAAAATCTGGGGCTGGGCACAGTGGCTTATGCCTGTAATGAGGCCACTTTTGGAGGCCAAGGTGGGCCGATCACTTGAACTCAGGAGTTCAAGACCAGCCTGGCCAACATGGCGAAACCCCACCTCTACTAAAAATGCAAATGTTAGCTGAGCATTTTGTGGTGCACACCTGTAATACCAGCTACTTGGGAGGCTGAAGCACAAGAAACACTTGAACTTGGGAGGCAGAGGCTGCAGTGAGCTGAGATTGTGTTACTGTGCTTCAGCCTGGGCAACAGAGCAAGACTCTGTCCACAAAAAAATAACAAACAAACAAACAAAAAAAAATAATTTGGAAGAAATCATTACAAGTCTATCAGTAATCATTTAGATACACCCAGACTTTGTCTTAGAATTATTAGAACTCTGGTTTCTCATGAATATTCCTAATTCTGCATAGGCAGGGGGAAGTTACTCAGAGCCGAGCACATTGGGGAGACCCACCTTTGTTGGCACAGGCCATCCACTTTAGATTGTCTGCAAATGCAGCCTCTCGTCCAATGAGGTATGTGAAGATGCGAACCTGAAAGGAAGACAAACGCACGGCTGAGCGGCATTCACTTTTCACCATCCTGCCCAGACCGCATGCACGGCTCACGCACATGTGGCTTACCTCTTTAATGCTCCGTGCTTCCCATCTGCAGGAACATATTTAAGACATTTGAAGTACAGTCAGCTAGAAATGTATTCAAAACTGGGGCCTTTGATCTTTTAAACCATATGGCACTGGTGGTGGTTGTTTTCGGTGTGCAAGTCATGACAGAGGAGAATAACAGAATGGGAGACTGGCAGCCTCACAGCCCTGGGCTTGCTCCGCACATATGGGCAAGGATCATCTACGTCTGGACCAAATCCCCAACCATGTTCCTCATTCACACAGGAAATGCAGAGTGTGCTCTTCTTGGGAATAAAAATGCCCTTGAAAGACCCTCGACATTTCCCTCCAATGGTGAGGACAGGCTGCAGACACTCTCTTACCATCTGTGGTGTCTGGCATGATATTAGAAGATAATTAACTGGGATGAGAGACACAGCCTGTGGCCAGGAGACCAGTGGGGACTCTCTCTAGTCTTCCTAAGCTTTTGGTTCCTGAAGAGCAGAGAACATATGTAAAACCCTGGCTTTCTTATTTTCTATTGTTTTCTCAACCCTCTCTCATGAGGCCAGAACTCTTTGAAACAAAACATGACCTACCTGCCAGACAGTACTTAAGGTTAAATGGAAGAAACATAAGGAATTAAAAGGTTAAAATCCTTTAATTCAATTGAAAATGGCATGTGGGTCAACCCTACACAGTCCAAACAAAATGCTTCTGATGGGCCATGTGCAGACCTGTGGCCACCTCTTTGTGACTAAGGTCAGTGAAGACATGGCATTAGATGAATGACACTTAGCAGGTGGTATCAAAGACTTTACCGGGTGATGTCCTTCTAGCTCCTCTAGTCTGGTGGGTCAAGTGCTCCTACTGCTCCTCCCAGCCTTTACTACAATTGTGGTTAGCTAGTATTTTGTATGGCTGGTCTGTGAAGTTGATCTGCTCCACTGGAGTACCCATTTGAGGAGGTTGGAAGGGATGTGTCTCCTTTACCTGGCTGGGCCCTGATGGAGCACTGCATTTGGAACACTGATACTCAATACACGAATAAATAAAAAGATAGAAATGCTTACAGTGGATTGTAAAAATAAATATTCTGTTTTAATTATGCATATCCTCTAATCTGGGCATTATAACTTCAAGGCTGATTGTGAGGTAATGGTTTCTTCCCAACTAAAAGGGATATTTAAACACACATTACTATTATGGAATGTCAGTCTGTGCTCATCTGTGCTTGGTAAGACCATCACTGTCTTTATCACAGCTCCTGCAAGGGGGCTTCCCGGTGGATGGGCAGGCAGACAGACCTCTCTTCACTTCTCTGGCTCGTCTACACACCATTCCCCTCAGAGTCACATTTGGGAGTAGGAATACAGTTTTTGTTTTTCTTTTTAAATTGGGAGATTCTGGCTTCTCTTAGCGGGAATAAAAGGCAAAGATCCTGTTGGGTGCCGAGGCTCATGCCTGTAACCCCAGCACTTTGGGAGGCTGAGGCAGGCAGATCACGAGGTCAGGAGATTGAGACCATCCTGGCCAACATGGTGAAACCCCATCTCTAGTAAAAACACAAAAATTAGCTGGGCTTGGTGGCAAGCTTCTATAATCTCAGCTACTCAGGAGGCTGAGGCAGGAGAATCACTTGAACCTGGGAGGCGGAGGTTGCAGTGAACCAAGTTTGTGCCACTGCACTCCAGCCAGTGACAGAGTGAGGCTTTGTCTCCCCCTTCCCCCCCACCAAAAAAAAAAAAAAAAAAAGCAAATATCCAGCCTCATATGGCCAAAGGTGGTTACCACCAACCCACTTCACATAGCTGCACCCCTGTTTACTTTCTCTGCCAGTCCACTGTCAGCACTTAACTGAGGATCTCTGATTGAGGGGAGAAACTGAGGCCCAGTTAAGTAAAGTGTTTTGCTTAATTTCATCAAAGTTTTATCTCACGAGAGAGGACTTGTAAGACCTCAGGATAGCACTCGTATCTGCTTTCAACCTTTGGGAGATGCTGGTTTGGTCAATACAGAAGATCCCAACCAGCTGCCAGGCCCAGAACCAGCACCCACAGAAGCCAGGATGGACTAGAATCAGGTCTCTTGAGAATAGACCCGTGCTTTCTCATAAATCTTTGTCTTTAATTTCAAATTTAAGCTTTTTAAAGGGGAAACGCTAGGCTGACAAAAACGTATATCCCCACTGGCTCCTTGGCAAGCAAGAAAGCATGAGATATGTCTGAGGAAATAAAGCAGTAGGTATATCTTTATTAGCAAAGACCCAACACAAAACAACCCATATTTTTTAGCAAAGGTAGCTGTTAGTGCCAGCCTCCTCTGCTATCTAGATGAAGAACCTTCATATCAACTGAGTTCTCTTGGAGGCATACTTACAAGTCCAGCACAATACTGTGAATCACCAGCAAAACTTCTACAACTCCTGATTTTAAAATGGCAACCCATTTGGAAAACCAGCAGGATTGCGCCAAACTTCAGATCAGACCTGACTGCTTAAGAACAACTGTGCTAACAATAACCACAATAACGAAAACCATCGCCACGTCCTCTGCCTCACCAGCACTCCCCTACCACGGCCACCACCACCACTGTGGCTTCCACAATCAGCACCATGCCCTGGGTCAGGTAGTATGCTGAGGGGTTTATGGGCATTAGATTTGTTTTGTTGGTTTGTCTTTTACTGCTTGTGAAAGAAAATCAGAACAATGTTCAATATTTCCATTGATTTGAAGACTTTGGCTCCCTGTACACCGACCTGCTTATCTGGGCAGAAATGGCATGGAAATTACTTGGTGCGTATCTGCCTATAAATAAACATAATCAAAGGATGCTGGGTTCACGCTCTGCATTTCTCACAATAATGCCTTTCAACTGACCACAGAGGAAAGGAGATTTTGCTTTAAAGTAGGAAATATTTTGGAGAGAAATTTAATAATAGCATTTTATATTTGTAATTTTTTTTACACAGTAATTCCATCCCTAGGCATTTATCTTATAGCTTGGATAACAAATAAAATGCTTATGGGGACTAAGAGGTAACAAAAATGACAGGCGTGGTAGAAGAAAGTACATATTTTCTGGAAGCCCTAGAATTCAGATTTAGACATTTTCAAAAATACATAATGATAAAAGTACAAGGACGTTCACCTTCATTACTTGTAATGGTCAAAACCTGTTAAATCATAAGTCTTTCTTGATAGCCAACTGGCTAAAAATTCATGGTACATTCGTGTAGTGGGCTATCGGCAGCTATGTCCTCATCCACGGCGCACTGGTAAATGTAAAAAGCAAGTTGTGGGCACTGTGTAGCACAGAATTCTGTTTTTTTCTAAAAGCAGCCTCACACTTTGTACCATTTTACAAATAAACTAGCATTGCTTTAATAATTAAAGATCATTTTAAATGAAAAGAAAGTAATGACATTGCTACTTCCTGAACAATTCTGTCAGGACACAGGAAGAATCAATGTTGCAGTGAAAATCAGACACAAAAAAGAGATGATATGTGGAAATTAAGTCCTGGCCTTGCATATTACAATGAGGGCTGCCTTACGCTACTGCTCGTTTAACTGAGTGCAAAACCTCTGTGAATAACAGTCAAATCGCTCTGAATTTCCATCGTTAACAGATTCTATACCCTAATGGATCTTATTTCCAACAACTGGAGTTTCTTCCCTAAGAAGTAATACATAGCAAGCGATCATTGGTCTGCCTTGAGCCCAGCTACTTTTCTGATGTGGCAAGGAGTGTAAAGCACAGCCAGATCTGGGATGGTCCTGAAGGCCAGGTGCACGGCACAGGCAACCATGGATGGGAAGCTGTCACGGCATAGTTCCGGCCAGGGCAGTCATCAGGATACACCAGAGCTCCCTGGAAAGCCAGGCTTTCATGCTCATCATCTGCAGGCATGGAGCATACCACTTTCATTAAAGCAGCTCAAAGGCAGGGGTAAAAAAGAAAGTCTGCACCAGCCCATTTGCTCATTTTGGTCTTCCACTTAAGTTTGGATGGTCTTTAAATGTTCTACAAACCCAATTAAACTTAATAAAATGTTAGGATGTAGACTTTCAAAGTTCAAAGTCATTTACTTTAATCTACTTAGTATAAAATTTCTCAATGAAACAAACAAAAATCTCAATCCAGTTTTTTTTTTTCAAAAACCAGTTATGCTTTTTACTCATGTAGATGCAACCTCCATCAGAAATGGAGAAGGGTACCCTTCTTCTCAACCTTTAGTGAAGACAGATAGTGAGTTTGTAAAGATAATAAATCAAATGTTCTCCTTTCTGCAGCCATTAAAACTGGGGGAGGGAAGTGGCTACCAGGAGAGTTATATGGGGCAATTTCACAGCCAGAAAATAGGCTGCTGCTGCCTGGCACATCTCCCTTCAATAATGAAGAAAGCCTTGTGCTTCTGACATAGTCCAAGAGGAGTCGTTTGTCATTTGTCTGTCATGTGTAACTCATGAGTGCCTACCATGTGCCAGGGACCATTCTTGGTGCCAGGGCTATCATGGGTAAACAAAACAAACTCTGCTCTCAGGGACATCACATTTTCTTACAGGGGCATCATAGTAAGTGGCAAATTCATTTAGAATGTTTATGTATTTGTTGGATTAAATGATGATAAAGAAAATAAAGCAAAGTAAGGTGATGGAGAGTGATGGGGACTGACTGCATTTTTAGAAAAGGGAGACCGGATGGTCTTCCTGATAAAATGATATTTGATCAGAGATTTAGACAAAATGGAAGTGGGGAAGAAGGAACAAGCCATATGGCTAATTGGAAAAGAGCATTCCAGGTGAAGGGAACCAAAGGTACAAGGTCCCTGAGACAGGGAAGCTCCAGGGATATTGAAGGGGCTGGTGTAGATGGAGCACAGTCATCTAGCAGCGGTTGCAGGAGATGAACTTGGCGATACAATGGGTGTCACATCACGTGGACCCCTGTGAGCCACGTTTGCTTTTTTTTTTTTTGAGGAGGGACTGAGTAGAAGTCTGACATGAGCTGATACATAATGTAAAAGGATCATTCTGGCTGCAGGATAGAGAATAGGCCACAAACAGTGTGGTCAACCTGGCTGCCCATTCCATTATCCTATGATAGTCTTACAATCATAGACTATGATTATAAGTCCCATTATAAGAATGTCCATGTCCCATCCATAGCCACAGAGAGTAAGAGTAGAACAGAGGTAGTAAGTAGGAGGCCCCTGCAATGTTCCAGGCGAGAGATGACAGTGGCTCTGGCCAGGGCAGTCAAAGTCCTCAGACTTCACAAGGCATCAGGAGTACCAGGGGCCTTGAATCACATGTCGAAGATGGAGTCTTAGTACCCACTCTCCCGAGATTCAGATTAAAGTAGGTCCAGGGATCGACATTTTTAAAAATGACCATGGTGTGTCTGACACAGGTGGGCTAAAGCCAATGCTTTAAAAAATGCCATCAAGAAGATGAGATCTGAGGAAAGGGAAGTGAGACCAGACATTAAGAAATCACTGGAGCCATTTCCAGGAAAGCTATTCTTACAGATTACTAAGGATTGAGGAAAAACTTTAAGGAGTTTACAATCCAGTGGGTGGTTAAACGAATAGAGAAGCTGGATCAAGATGACATTTTTAAAAAAGCTTGTGTCAACCGAAGAAGGCAGGATCATGAGACATCAGCCAGGCTTGGCAAGCAGGATTAGCTAACTTTACGTTCTTCTTCCCCCAAGAAAGGACAGTTCTAACCATCTGTAGCTGCTGAGCTGGGACTTCACATTCTTTGGAATTACAATAATTCCACTCTTGCTCCCAGGTGCAGAGGAAAGAAAGGTTTGGAGACTGAGCACTTATGAGCCTTAAAAAACAATCTATACTTTTACAGAAAAAAGAAGACAATCTTTTATTTTAAGAAACATTTAACTACAAATCCATTCTTTCCATCTTTAAAAGCAAGCAATTTTTATGGATTATATGTGTCAATGTCATTTGCTACCGAATCTGTTCATTATCTCGGGTGCCCACATTCGTGAGTTCTAAATTTTAATTAAGCTAAGGGCAGCCTCCGTATTAGGCATGCGTAATCATCTTCCTGTCTTTTCACCTGCTCGTGCCCTTTTGGACTCACTGCCCATCTTAGCTATTCTCTAAAATACTTCCAGGATTTCTGAAAATGATAAATGATTTCAGCTTTAGAAAGAGGTCTCCTGAGGTCTTTATGTTTTAAAGTCAATATGTTCTTAATCTATATCTTCACAGGAGATATTACTAACTAACTTTCATTGTTATTCGCTCATTTCTATGACTTCTGGTACAGAGAAGCACTTCTGAATAAAATCTTTAAACTGTAAGCAGAAGATAAGGATTGGAACCTGATTACTCACATAAATGCTTCATAAATCATTGCCAATATTTATCTTCATGAAAATTCTACAAGAGTAGAGATGGGCTCAGAGAAGACTGACTCCAAAGGAAACAGTTATATTGAGCAGGCTGCTTTAACCTAGGAGCCATCATGCTCATCATATAAGAAGAAACATCCTTATCCAGAAGGAAGAGAAAGGCAACCATGGTAACGCTACCCTGAACAGCAATGAAATGGGATAAATTGAGTTAAATTACAAAAGTAATAAAATTTCAACAAATGAATATCATAGATCATTATGAAAAATGGACTGTCACCTTGGGGATGCTCTAAGAGTCTGTATAATCTCCTTTTTCCCAAGTACAAGTGCCTGATACCTCATGTGTGATATTGAAAACAAATTCCAATTCAGAAAAAAAAATTGTTATTTGTAATCTTCTGGCCAAAGAGATGAAAGTCTAGTTTTATGGTCATGTGTTTTGTCAAGGTGAAGGAAACAGGTGTTTCTTGGCCACCCAGAGACTATGACCTGGGGTTGGTACAATGGAACATAAGAGATTACATACAGCTCAATGGAGCAGTAAGAAGTCAAGATGCAAACATCCTCAAAGGTGTGTGATGTAATTTATTAGACTGTCCAGCACCAGTGAATTCATTCGGGGGATAGAGCCAGTGTATTAACCATGTCTTTGGATTTTCTGTATTATTATTGCACTGATGTCTGAGGCGGTATGACCCTGGAGGGTCTGCCCCTCCTAGGGTTAGCTATTTCCTGGACATAGCAAGCAACTTGCCTGCGAGAGCATTTCTGATACATAAACCAACCAATCCACAGCCCATTCCTCCAATCACCTCTTTCATCAGGCTCTTACACTGAAGGTCATACTCACCTGCCTTAATCACCCCAGGACCAGGTATCAGACAACTAGGGGCAGCTCCTGTACCCCAGCGCTCACTGAGAGGATTGACTAACCAATGCTAAGCCTGGTTGGCCTGCTTTGCCTCTTCCTTCCCATGGAAAACATAATAATGGCTTCTGCCCTCTAGATCTTTCTATCTCTGCCCACTCATCTTGCCGTGGTGCTTCCCCATGTGGCCCTTCATGGTATGGCATGCTTTCTGTTTCTAGGGAACTATGAATGCAATAGACTTCTTCCTTCATGACAATTATTTCCGTATCTGTGTGCCTTATTATACCTGACTAAAACAAATTCCAGGTAGTATTTGTTCCAGATGGGTCCAATGCTACACTTCCTGGCTTGGTGATCCTGAGTGAGGTATTTAAACCTACCGAGCTGTGCTTGCACCTCCCCCAATATGGGGATCCTCTACCCACCCACCTCACATTTGTGATCAACAGCAAATGAGACAATGGATGCAAGGATAGGTCAGAAGCAACAAATCCCATTCAGCTAGAGTTGCATCCCACTCGTGTTTTAGATAATTTGCTGCAGTGAAACTAAACAAAGGGAGTCAAGGAAAGTCAAGTCTTCCAACCACAGATACTTCCCTCATCTTGCCCAGAGGTTTGGTTAAAGAGAAAAGTGACTCCTATGGGTGAAGAATGGGATTTTTCACAGGGGCGGGTTTTTACAAGCCATCACTGCTGTTTGTCAATACCAAGGATAAGGGGGTTGACAGTTTCTAACATAATCAGGAACACTAGAGCTATAATATCAATTACAACTGCAAAAACCCTTGGATAGTCAGAGGATCCACTGAGAACTTGGCAGGGGCTATAAACTTTCTCCTACCCCTGACCCCTCCCTCCAAAAGCCTAAGACTATACACTCACAATTTCAGATAAAATTCATGAGGGTTTGGGCATCTTCTCCACCAAGCCCCAGACCTGGATTGTCTAGGAATATCTGGCTCCCAGGTTAAGAACTCTTGTCTTATATATCTCTTATATTTTGCACCATAAATTCCTCAAAATCAAAATAGTTTCTTTGGGTGATCAAGATGGGCTGTCTTAGTGGAAGTGCTCATAAAATTGAGAAATAAGTTCATTTGGTCATTTACATGTCCACTCTGTGATAGCTCTGTGCACACCAGATATCAGCTGTTTACATTGAGATCAGAAGTGAGACCTCTACATGGAGGAACAATGTGGAGAAATCAGGAGCCCTGAGACAGAATAGGCATCACTGTGGATCTTGGGTTTTTATGAGGCACATCACATCATAAAGCCTTTGCAAGACCAAGTGCAAAGGAGCAGGGATGGAAGGGACAGACAGATAGGACTGAGTCCATAGAATCCAGCACAGTACTTGGATAAAAAGAAATAATGAAAACTGAGCATAGAGAAAGTAAAATGTTAACTTACTGATAACAGATCAGTCTGGAAAAATAGAAAAGTATTTAAAATGACGTTTTTAATGACAGGCCCAGCATTCAAATACTTGTTGATTGGCCAATACCATAAATATCCCTGTCTGCTGATACCAGGAATACTGAAACAAACCTGTCTCCAAGCTTCACGCTGCTGGACAATGCAGGGCCTAGGGTTTATAATGCTGGGAAGCCCCACTCTGCTTCCCTTGCCATGTGAAACCTTGAGAGATCAAGTGGTGACAGCTATTTGTTCACAGGGACACCCCATCTTTCAAGAAGTATTACAGATTCAATACCATGAAGAAAAAGGCAAACTAACATGTGTAAAGCCATCAAATTAACCAAAAACATATCGGAAAATTGACTTATATCAAAGGGAAACAAATTAATTGTTCCACAAGTTGGGATGGTGATGGTTACGTTCATGAAACATCATGGGGCTGTGTCACTATCTAGCTTAGAGCCCTCCAGTGCCTTCCCGTTGTACTTGGAATACATTCTAAACTCCTAAGTCTACAACTAAGATGCCCTGGAAGGTCCAGATACATGACCAACTCCTTCTGGCTTTCCAGTCTTTCAATCCACCTCTCCCACTGCCTGGAGGGCTCCTCAACTCCTATTTGCATGACTAACTCTCTTTCACCCAGTTACCCTCATCCTCATCACCCGTTTTGTTTCCTTCATGACACTCAGTATATTCCTTTTTTTTTTTTTTTTTTTTTTTTTTGAGACAGAGTCTCGCACTGTCCAACAGGCTGGAGTGCAATGGCACAATCTCAGCTCATTGCAACCTCCGACTCCTGGGTTCAAGTGATTCTCCTGCCTCAGCTTCCCAAGTAGCTGGGATTACAGGTACCCACGACCACGCCTGGCTAATTTTTTGTACTTTTAGTAGAGATGGGGTTTCACTATGTTGGCCAGGCTGAATACTCAGTGTATTCTTAACTTACATGATTTATTAGTTTACTTATGTTTATTTCTACTTCTAAACGGAAACACAGACGTGAGGGCAGAAGGAGGCACCTGTGCCCAACTCAGTGCCTGTCATGCAGTCAGTTCTCAACAGATATTAGTTACTCACCTTTTCTAATCTTTTCACAAATTTGGAAAATCAAAGGAAGTCAGCATGGGACACACTTGAATTTATCAGCATAAAGCATACTCCTTCATTAACACCGTCATTTTAAATAGTTTTCTATTTTTCCAGACTGATCTGTTATCAGTAAGTTAACATTTTATTTTCTCTATGCTCAGTTTTCATTATTTCTTTTTATCCTGAAGCTCAGTGATAACATATGAGGAAATGAAGGTATGAAAAAGCTCTGGTCTTTGTTATTACAGCCTCATAGTCAGGGACCAGAAAAACGGTGTCTTATGCAAGGTCTCCCATAGATCGATGATCAGTATTATAATATTTCTTCCTAGGTGTCTGCCTCTTAATTCTAGGCGGAAGCCATGCAAAGATTGAAGCCAGTTGTATTTTAAATAACTGCCTGCTTCAGGGATTCCCTAGTAGGGAAAAGATCACATCTTAAAACAGTGATGTGATGGCTGCTATTCCAAGCAACTTTCAGTGGAAATCTCTCCTTTTCCCTACACTTTGTAACAGTGGACAGATGGTATCATTTCTTGCGAGCCAGAGCTGAGTGGGTAGACAGGTTGGCAAAAAGTAGTGGTTACCAAACGGGGTTAAGAATTGGATAACCCCATATTCAGAATCTGAGTCTTCCCTCAAATGAGCTTTGAGGCCTTGGAGTAAGTTACTTTTTATTTATTCATACCTTTTATTTATTTATTTATTTACTTGAGACAGAGTCTCACTTTGCCACCCAGGCTGGAGTGCAGAGGCTCGATCTCGGCTTACTGCAACCTCCGCCTCCCAGGTTCAAGCAATTTTCATGACTCATTTCCCAAGTAGCTGGGACTACAAGCATGTATCACCACGCTAGCTATTTCTTGTATTTTTAGTAGAGACAGGGTTTCGCCATGTTGGCCAGGCTAGTCTTGAACTCCTGGGCTCATGTGATCCACCCACCTCGACTTTCCAAAGTGCTGGGATTACAGGTGTGAGCTACCACACCCAGCCCCAGCACTGTTCCAAGTCGAGGCAGGCAGATTGCTAGAGCCCAGAAGTTCGAGATCAGCCTGGGCAACATGGTAAGACATCATCTTTACAAAAAATAAAAAATTAGACCTATAGTTTCAGCTACTTGGGCAACTGAGTTGTGGGGAACATGGTCAAGGTTGCAGTTGGCTGAGACCTGCCAGTGAACTCCAGCCTGGGTGACAGAGAGAGGCCTTATCTCAAAAAAAAAAAAAAATTAATTAAAAAATAAAATTAATTTATATGGAAATACAAAGGAACAAGAATATCTAAAAACTGTCCTAAAGAAGAGGAACAAGGCAGGACAATTACCTTACTGGCTATCAAGGTTTATTATAAAGTATGGTAATTAAGGCAGTGTGGTTTTAGTGTACAAATACAAAAATCGCCCAATGGACCAGCAAGGAAAACTCCAAAGCAGGCAAACACATATGTGGGTCCCTGATTTACAGCAAAGAGGGTATTGCAGAGCCTGATGAAAGAACAGTCTAATTTTTTAATTTTTCTTTTTTTTTCTTTAGATGGGGTTTCAGCATGTTGCCCAGGCTGGTCTCAAACTCTTGAGCTCAAGCTATCCACCCACCTCAACCTCCCAGAGTGCTCGGATTACAGGCGTGAGTCATCTTGCCTGGCAAGTTACTTGATCTTTGTAAGCCTCATTTTCCTTACTTGTAAATTAGTCAACGTAACAGAACCAGAATGATGTTGTTAAATGGTTGTTATTAAATGGATCAAATAAAGTAAAATGTTTGGGACGTGAGGGGCAGGGGAGGATTAATGCTGCAAAAAAGGAGATCTTTTAAAAGGAGATTTACGTTCTTCTAAAAGGAGATCTCCAAAGTGCTCTTTGCCTAGATCCTAAAGAGAGAAAATAGAACAAACAGGGAAAGGTCTGAGAGTAGGAAGCCTGATGATGTGACCTGGATGTGCCCCTCTAGGCCTTAGAAAAAAGCTCCTCTTACTTTAATGCTCTCCCTTCCCACCACCCACCCCACCCTAAGTTTGTCTCCCTTTGCCTCCCCTTGCTTCTGGATCAGTGAGACCCCAAGGGTCCATGTCAGGGTACAGGACCAAGACCCACTTGGCCTTGGGCACAGCTGGAGTCCTCATGATTTTCTCATTGGGATTTGGAGCCAAAGCCCCACAGTAAGAAGCCGCATACATGCGGACAGCATCCCCTCTTGTACCACCCTGCAGAAGCAGCACAGCAGTAGGTTACAGGTCGAGGAGTCAGGAGTTTGGGATTCTGCCCAAATTATTCTCAGACTCATTAAAACCAACAGCTGTTGTGAATTCTAAGATAGCACAGTTGCCTTTTCCAAGGATTCTTGTCATTTCTATTTTCCCAACCAATCCTCCCTGTCACTATGAATTAGTCCAAAATAGCAGTTTCCCCTGTCACCTCACCTACTGCCTTCTGGGACTTCCGTCAGTAAGAAAAGTCAAGGACTTGTCAGACAACTGCAAGGATATTGCTGAGGGCAATGTTCACTCTGTTTTACCTGTGATTCTCCAAAAGACAGACAGGTAGGGACATGGCTCCTTGTGGAAGGGGGAAGGACAGATCAGAATGACTTGTGGGTTTCTGGCAATCTATGCGAGCTCACTGTCTGTAAACCAACCTCTTGCCCTTCAGGGGTTCTAATAACCCAAGATCCTCAACTCCCACTATGGAAGCATGCCCCCCTGGCTGAAGACCCTACTGTAGGAAGCCACCAGTATGACTTCAGTGGGTAGTAGCCTCAGGTGGATGGGGTGGGAAGGCAAGTCAATGTTCCTGAGAATATGGGGCAAGCATTCTCTTCTTTTTGAGAAGCCCCAGGGAAAGTTTATGTCTTACCTTCAGTCAATAAGAGTTGTATTTTATCCTAAGAAATCATGTCTTAACCTCTCAGACCGTGATCTGTACAGGGATCCAGATTCCCTCTTTGCATGTGCAAACTGGCTCAAGCAGAGGGCTCAAATGCCCCATCAGACAGCAGGTGTTCTGTGGCTCCCCTGTCTTCAGTGTCCTTTTCTCCTTGCTACTGACAACTGACTTCTGTTACCTTTTCTGTTTTATGTTTCCAATCCATCTACCCTCCCACCTAGCCTTCCATCCATCAAGTATTAACTAGAAATACCTGCTAGATACTAAACATGCTGCTCCATGCTGGAGGCACAATGGGGAAAAAAAATCCATATGGTCTCTGCCCTTGTGGAAGTTGTAAGCCCTTGAAATACTTTTTATAGAATGGGGAAGACAAAGGAATATGAAGAAAATATATGTATTTCTTTACACATATATAAAACTATATGTAAATAGTTATACATATGTGTATATATGTGTGTATATATGAGAAGGGCCTGTCATTCCAAAAGTGGGCCACTACGGCACTCTTCCCACAAAGAGCTTAGTTTCCCTGAATAGGACACATGCATTCTTGGGCTCTATGGCCCCAGCTCCGGTTGATAAGGAGAATCATACAAATGCAGTCATCCTAATCATTTTCTAAGCATCGTGCACTGGTAAGATGAACATTTGAGGCCAAAAGAATCCCAATGTGTTCCCCAACTGTTTGTTCCTAGAAATAACCTTGCAGGCACTCTCCATGTTCTTTTTTTCTCTCTCTTTCTTTCCCTCTTTCTGCCTGCCTTCCTCCCTTCCCTTCCCTTCCCTCCCTCTGTCCATCCCTCCCTCCCTTCCTCCCTTTCTTCCTTCCTTCCTACCTTCCTTCCTTCCTTCTCTCTTTCTCTCTCTCTCTCTTTCTCTTGCTCTCTCTGTTTCCCTGTTTCTCTCTTTCTTTCTTTCGTTCTTTCAATTCAGATGGAGTCTTTGTCACCCAGACTGGAATGCAGTGGCATAATCCCAGCTCACTGCAACCTCTGCTTCCCAGGTTCAAGCTGTTCTCCTGTCTCGGCCTCTCAAGTAGCTAGGATTACAGGCCCACAACACTGTACTCAACTAATTTTTGTATGTTTAGTAGAGATGGGGTTTCACCATGTTGGCCAGGCTGGTCTCGAACTCCTGACCTCAGGTGATCCACCCATCTCAGCCTCCCCAAGTGTTTCTACATTCTTTTCTTCCACTCTGCCAGGTCTTTTCTTTTTTTTCTTTTGAGACAGTCTGTCACCCATGCTGGAGTACAGTGGCATGATCTTGGCTCACTGCAGCTCAAAGCAATCCTCCCACCTCAACCTCCTAAGAAGCTGAGACTATAGGCATGTGCCACCACACCTGGCTAATTTTTGTATTTTTTGTAGAGATGAGATCTTGCCATATTCTCCAGGCTGGTCTTAAACTCCTGGGCTCAAGCTAGCCTCCCGCCTTGGCCTCCCAAAGTTTTAGGATTGCACATGTGAACAACCATGCCCAGCCCTAAGTCTTACATGTAAGAGAAAAGCAGGAAAAGTTAAGTAGTACTGGTCATACAATAAGTGGGTGAAAAACACATTGTGACAGATAAGGGTTGAAGAAGGTGAGATCATATGGGATCACAGATCATTCTTGTCTTCAAAGAGCTTCCTGTCAACAGAGAAGCTATAAACCCATAAGCAGAATATACATGGCAATGCACAGGGATGATGGCAAAGGATGCTCTACAGGACAGCAAACAAATCAGGGAAATGCAAACCAAGAAAAACAATGTATTTTAAGAGAGAAATGGACACAGCCTAGAATGAAGTCAACAGTCTTGAGAACTGGCCTCTGTCTTGTTTCCTCACTCTCATAGTTTTGTTTATTTGCTTGTTTGTTGTTTTTCTATGGTCAGGACTTTTCATGGGGATCAAGAGAGGAGAAAGATACCATGTGCCGGAAATGAGTTGACTTTTTCAAAACACATGTTTCCTTCAGTTGGGAGTCTAGAGACTGGTCTAAGCCAATGGCTCTTGTGACTGCAGGAAATTCTACAATTTTCTATTTTAAACATGGCTTTTTGGGAGACCAGAGCTTTTCCTGGAAGAGTAAGTTTGAGGACATGTCACTAGTGCTCTATTACACTGAAGAGAGGAGCCAGATTATCTGCTGTAGCCTGGAAACCCACTCTTTGAGAGCACTGGGCAATTTCTAATGACAGCCAGTGTTAAAAATGGTCCTAGTGAACAACAGAGAGTAGAGAAATGAATAACTTACTTGAAAGCTTCCTGCTAAAATACAATTCTGTGATTTTATCTCCTCTGCTAATATCCTAGTCCAAGCCACCAATGCCTCTTACTTGGAGAACCAGGGAGGACTCTTACTCTTCCATTGCTATCCAGCCCCAGAGAGAGCTTGTTACAACAGGAATAAGATAGAGTCCTTCTGGCTGGGCATTGTTGCTCACACCTGTAATCCCAGGACTTTGGGAGGCCAAGGCAGGCAGATCACCTTAGGTCAGGAGCTCAAGACCAGCATGGCCAACACGGTGAAACCCCGTCTCTACTAAAAATACAAAAAAAAAAAAAAAAAAAATAGCTGGG